AACTTTAAAATACAAGTCCTAGACTAGCAGGATCCTTTATTACAGCCCATGACAGGACTGGTTTCATGTAACCAAATGGCAGGGCTCTTCTGAAAGTGGAACAGTTTTTCTGAATATAAGTTTTTCTGTATAAAAAATTGTTTTAATCAACTGGGCCCAGTGGCACACACCTATAATCTCAGCGGCACAAGAGACTGAGACAGGAGGATCGCAAGTTCAAAGCCAGCCTCAGCAATGAAAGGTAACACTCAGTGAGATCTTGTCTCTAAATAAAATACAAAACAGGGCTGGGGATGTGGCTGGGGATGTGCCCCCGAGTTCAAACCCCAGTACCAAAAAATAATAATAATAAATTGTTTGGGGGCTTGGGATGTGGCTCAAGCGGTAGCACGCTCGCCTGGCATGCGTGCGGCCCAGGTTCGATCCTCAGCACCACATACAAAGATGTTATGTCTGCCAAAACACTAAAAAATAAATATTAAAATTCTCTCTCTCTCTAAAAATAATAATAATAATAAATTGTTTTAATCAATTAATGACCTTTATTCTAACTAGGCAAATGTTTCCTTTTATTCTGATTTATTTTCAATATAGTATGTAAATCATGAAAACTCTTGTTTTTTTGATTGTTTGGTTTTGTGTGTGTGTGTGTGTAATTGACATGAAAGAGCTGGATAAGTGTTTCCTGAGAGCCTACCACATATATACTAGGTAAGGTCCCACATATCATAGAAGATAAAGATGATAAAGGAAATAAGTTTTTTATTTCTAGTTTTTATAGGTATAGACGATGCAACACTGAATATGGAAAACAAGTTTGTTTGTTTGTTTTGTTTTGGACTGGGGATTGAACCCAGGCAGGGGCGCTCTACCACTGAGCCACATTCCCAGCCCTGTTTGTATTTTATGTTAGAGATAGGGTCTCACTGAGTTGAGCAACTGGCTTTGAACTCTCACTCCTCCAGCCTCAGCCTCCGGAGCTGCTGGGATTACAGATGTGCCCCAGTGTGCCCAAATGGAAAACAAGTCTTGATTAACTAACTGCTCTTAACCTCTGTCACTACCACCCCCACCATCTTCAGATGTCTTTAAAACTATTTTTCAGTACTTCTAAAAATGGCAAAGAAAAAGTCTTCCTGATTCCTGTTCATGTTGGAGATTATCTAAAAACAAGGAGTACATCAAATAGAAAAACAAATAAGTCTATCTCAAAATCATGGAATTTTGTGCTCGGTGGTGGAGCACTTGCCTCAAACATATGAGGCAATGGGTTTGATCCTTAGCACCACAAAAATAAATAAATAAATATAAGTTATTGTGTCCATCTACAACTAAAAATTTAAAAAAAAAATGGAAGAGTGATGTGGCAGACAAAAGATTGCTACAAATTCTAACACCTCCCCCTCCCACTGACAGGTGGGATCTATTCTTCTCCCCTTGAATCTGAGCTGGCCTCCACATTTACCAATAGGGTATAATGAAAAGAGATGTTTTGTCAGTTCTTAGTCTAGAATTTAAGAGGATTGACAGTTAATACCTTGGATTCTTGGCACCCTCTGCCCCCACATAAGAAGTTCCACTACCCTAAAAGAAAGACCTTTAGAAGAGGTCTCACGATACAGAGGAAGAAAAGGGGTACAGCTGATAATAGACTTTCAGATATCCCCACAGGTGTCAGGTACATGAGCAAAGCCACACAAGCACAGTCATCTGCTGAATGTCAAAAAGTGGGCATCACATCCCATAGGCCCAGGTTAGCAATGTAAGGAACAGAAGAATTTCCAAACTAAGCCCTGCCCAGATTTCTCAACAGCAATACTGTAAATGCTTGGTATGATCCTAAGAACTTAGCAAGACCCTGTCTAAAAATTAAAACATTAAAAAGGCTGAGGATGTGGCTCAGTGGTAAAATATCCCTGTGTTCAATCCCTGAGAAGGAAGGAAAAAAAAGAGAGAAAGAAAGACCGATGACCTACAATTACTTACACAGCCTATGAACTATCAATCAAATGTGAGGACATTCCAGGTAATAAAAAATTTTATTCCCAAGTAACTTTTTCAGAAAGTTTTCCAGATGTGTTCCACCAAAAACCAGGGAATGATCAAAGATAAAAAGACAAGAGGATCCAAGCATCAGGAACTCCAACCCAGGAGAAAAAGAAGCAAGGCAAAACTCAAACGCAGGCCAAGAAAGTCACAAGCACAGACCAGAGCAGAAACAAAGGAACTCTAGGAGGAAAATCTCAGAGTGCTATGGTTGGTTAATCCACCTTTTAGTGATGGTGGTGGTGGCTCTGGGAACTGATTACACCTAGCATACTTCACCATTGAGCCATATGCCCAGTTTGTTTGTTTGTTTTTTAATTTTGAGATACAGACTCTGTGAGTTACTGAGGCTGGCCTCAAACTTGCAATCCTCCTGCCTCAGCCTCCTGAGTCTCTGGGATTATAGGTGTGAGCCACTGCCCCAGCCAGGGTGCAGTGGCTTGAATGTGTCACCCAAAAGTTCCTGTGTTGGCAACTTAATTCCTGAATTTACATGATAAAAGCATTTGGAAAGGGGGCCTTTGGGGAGCAATTAGGATTAGATGAGGATAGTGGGACCCCCATGATGGCTAGAGTGATTTCCTAAGAAAAGGAAGGGACTCGAACTAGCACTCTTGCTTTGTCTCACCATGTGATGCCCTCTACTACATTATGATGCAGCAAGGCAACCTGCACCAGATGCGGGTGTCATGTTCTCAGACTTTCCAGCTTTCAGAACTGTGAGCTAAATAAACTAATATTACTATAAATTATCCAGTTTCTAGTATTTTGTTATAGCAACAGAAAACAGACAAGGCCAATGGATAAATATCTTGATAAATTATCTAATAAGCTTAACCATGTAGAAAATTGTAGGATTTTCTAAAGATGTAGCTCAGTGGGAGAGTGTGTACTTAGCATAATCAAGGTCCTAGTTTCAATCCCTAGCATCACAAAAAACAAACAAATCCAAAATGATATTTAAGACTTGAGAGCCTCAAAAAGTACAGATAGAATTACTGGCACTTATAGAGAAAATTGAGCAAAAATTTTGCTACAGGCAATTATCAACTTCAGAAAAAAAAATTACAAGAAAAGGAAACTCAAATAAAACGATAAGATACCATTATGCTAAGCAGTCAACAATATTCATACATTTATAATAATGTCAACATTTAATTCAGATTTAACCAAAAACTATAATACAGCCTCCTTGGGAAGATGGCAAAAGGGATGAGACAACTAAATTTTCTTTTACTATAATAAGCAATGAGTATATAAGGTCTAAAATCACTATTGAGAAACCACTGTAGTGGGGCATGGTGGTACATGCCTGTAATCCCAGCAGGTGGCACTTGCTTGTAATTCGAGCAACTGGGGAGACTGAGGCAGGATTGCAAATTCAAAGCCAGCCTCAGCAATTTAGGGAGATCCAAAGCAATGGAGGAAGACACTGTCTCAAAACAAAAAATAAAAAAGGGATGGAATGTGGCTTAGTGGTTAAGCACCCCTGGGTTCAACCCCAGTATAGAAAAAAAAGGGGGTGGGGGAAAGAGCCAACATGTACACATATTTAGAAACATGGAAGAGAATACCAGAAGAGATTTTGTCCCAGGAATTGATTAGCACCTTGCCTTTGCTGAGGCTAAATGTGAACTCACCATACTCTTGCCTCAACCTCCTGAGTTGCTAGGATTATGGGCATGCACTGTGGTGCCCAGCTCCAGAAGAGTTCTGTAATTGCTTCTAAGTTATAAGACTGGGGTAAGGGAGAGTCAAACTTAGAGAAAACCATACAGTTCTCAACTAAGTGGCAAACCAGTGATACAGATATCCTAATGCCAATAAATTATGTGGCTCTGAATACTTCAGGTTTTCAGTTCCTCCTCATTCTAGTGGGAATCAAGTCCCCCAAGTCTTTCCTCTTCCCCCAACAAAATGGATAACAGTAACCATATAACACTACCTCTCCAATTACTACAGTGCAAGGCCCATCTCTACTGCTTCATTTCTCACCACTCCCCTTTATATGCTCCAGCCACATACACCTGTTATGCTGTTCTGTACTTGCCACTGCCCAGAGTTACCTTGACTTCCCCAGCCTAATTCTCCCTACTATCCACCCTTCCAACATGTTATGTCTCCATAGACCTTGGCTTGCTGCTATCAGTGCTTACCCTTGCTATATAATGATAAATGCCCCACTAGACAGTAAGTTCACTGAAGAAACTCTGCTTTACTGTCTTTTGTCTCAAGTATCTAGAAACAACCCTTGAAATTGAATAGGGGCTCAATGAATATTTAATTTGCTGACTATAATAACCTCACAGCAAGCACATCATATATACAAAGCCAGCATAGTTACAGAACAAAAAGAGGAAAGAGGATTCTATAACAAGTAGGTATAGAAATATATAGAAGTTCAGAAAAAGCTTCTGGGAAAGGCAATAACATTTGAGAACAGCTACTAGGGATGCTGAGGCAAGAGGAACACTACTTTGAAGCCAGTCTGGGTAACTTAGTGTGGTCCTATCTCAAAATAAAAAATAAAAGGGACTGGGGATGTGGCTCAGTGGTCTGGTGCCCTGAGTTCACTCCTTGGGATATTTATTTATTTACTTACTTACTTATTTATTTATTTAATAAATGAGCAGGATTAATGAGAGGGGAGATATGTCCATGTTTGCTTATGGGAAAGGGAGGTATCAAAGACTATCCTAGATTTTAACCTAGAAAAACTGCAAGAATGGTATTCTGGGGCTGGGGTTGTGGCTCCGTGGTAGAGTCCTTGCCTAGCATGTGTGTGGCCCTGGGTTCGATCCTCAGCACCACATAAAGATAAATAAATAAAAGTATTGTGACCATCTACAACTAAAAAGTAATTTTAAAAAAGGTATTCTGCTAAAAGAAACAAATATAAGAGGAGGAATTTTATCTGAGGGGATAATGAATCTGATTTTGCATATTTGTTCCAGGAGCCAAAGCTGAATAATGGAAACAACATTTGGGTTTCCTTTAAGTGCCAGAGAAGAAAAACATGGAAATGAAGGTAGAATTAGAAAAAAAAAAAAATACAAGAACAGGAAGAGAATGATGGGGGGCGGGGTGTGAGAATCCTGCATAGATAGGCAGAAAGGTACGAGGAATAACAAATCACTATCAAATCTGCCTCCATATACGGCTGAGTATCTGATTACATATCAGCACTTTCTACTCACACTATTTTAGAAGCCCAATAAAGCTGAAACTTTATAATGCTGAGGGCCAACCAGCTGTTCCCAAACTTAAAGACACAAGTAAGCTTAACGGCTTAAATAAAGGGACACGAATTCACCATCTCAAAGTGGCAGAAATAAAAAAAAATAGAAGAGAAGTAAAATGTGTATTCCACCTCCTGGTTCAACCCCTTTTCTAGTGACTATCTCTCTTTACCATTTATAATAAACCCCTGCCAGATATCCACAGTCAGGGCATAACCTAAAGGTGTTAGGTACACACAGCAATATCTTCCCTTGTGTGAAAAACACAGATTGCCCTGCAGTCTTATAGCACCTAAAGAAAGGGCAGACCTGACTCTGCTTGATGTACTAAACAAACAGATATTGATCAGGTATTGTTCTAGGCACTGGGAGTTTACATTACGGTGGGAGACCAAAAAATATAAGTAAATAAATTTACAAAATAGATTTCAGATTACAAGTGTCATATGCCAGAGGACCAGGCGGCTAATTCAGATTAAATGCTCAAGAAAGTTCTCATCCAAAAGATAATACTTGAGTTGAGACTAGAACAGCCAGTACTAAATGAGCACTTGTAAGGGAGGCACTTTATATATATGTACTTGCTCTTTACAACATTGAGAAATTTATTTATATTATCCAATATTTTATAATGGCAGAGATTAAATAACTTGAACCTGGACAATCAGCCTTCCAAACTCATGCCTCTAACCACCACAATCTGGCCCTGCCTGAATTTGACAAGAAACAGCCAGTCATGCAGAAGGAACAGCATATGCAAGTTCAAAGGCAATGAGGTGGGAAGAGCGCAGCATCCTGATAGAACTGAAGGATCAGTGTGGTCAGACAGGAGACAAACAAGTGGATGCCACTGGAAGGCTTTAAGAAAAGAGTGCTATGATCTGATGTCTCTTTTAAAAAATCACTTTAGCAGTTATGTAGAAAGTGAACTGTACCCCCACAAGCTGTTACTTTAGCCTGCATCTGACTTTTAGGTTTGGTCTAATTTACTATTCTGCCTGGCCTCCAATAACAATGCAATGTTATTTTAGATAAAATATTATGACGTGTGATCTGTATCTCAACACATCACATCACTAAATTGGGCTATATAACCTTGAGTTAAGTTTCTCTGAAAAAAAAATTATTACTATGTGTCCTGTTATCATTGAGAGTCCTATGTGGGGATGTTCTAAAAAGCACAGAAAAACTAACTACAATGTAGTATTTTGTTGCAGACATGTAACAAAAGTTTTACAATTTGCCTTAAACCATTCCTTACCCTTCCCTTACCGAACCCTGCCCCCAAAGGCTGCTTGAAATTTAAAGTACTTTTTGGAAAAGATGACTTCATTACATTCTTTGAGTTTTATTCATGCATATAAACATTAAAGATAGGCTATCCTGCTGGGTGCAGTGGCACACACCTGTAATCCCAGCGGCTTAGAAGACTGAGGCAGGAGGATCACAGGTTCAAAGCCAGCCTCAGCAACTTACTAATGTCCAAAGCAACTTAGTAAGACCCTGTCTCAAAATAGAAAAAGGGCTGGGGGGGCTGGGGGGGCTGGGGGGGCTGGGGATGTGGCTCAAGCAGTAGCGCGCTTGCTTGGCATGCGCGGGGCATTGGGTTTGATCCTCAGCACCACATAAAAATAAAGATATTGTGTCCATCGAAAACTAAAAATAAATTTAAAAAAAGAAAAAGAAAAAGGGCTGGGGGCACTGGGGTTGTGGCTCAGAGGTAGAGCACTCGCCTAGCATGCATGAGGCACTGGGTTTGATCTTCAACAACACCACATTAAAAATAAAGATATTGTATCCACCTATAACTAAAAAATAAATATTAGAAAAAGAAAAAGGGCTGGGGATATGACTCAGTAGTTGAATATCCCTTAGTTCAATCCCCAGTACCCACCCCACCCCCCAAAAAAGGCTATCCTCATAATTCCCAATTCGTCTTCTATGGTGTTCAAATGTGCTCCAATTTTTCAATGTGGAATTATATTTGTCTTTTAGACATTTCTTCTCTAAAAGACAAAGTTATGGATATTTATAAGTCCATATGCCATGTATAAAAGACCTAACTATATTTAAATACAATCAGAACATATTTTGTGTATTCCCTCCAAAATCATGCAATCCATTATGAAATAATTTTCAGGTTAAGAATTCTTCAGGGTTGGGATTGTGGCTCAGTGATAAAGCACTTGCCTAGCACACATGAGGCACTGGGTTTGATCCTCAGCACTACATACAAATTAATTATTAATTAATTAAAGGTATTGTGTCTATCTACAACTTTAAAAACATATTAATAAATTTTAAAAAAGAATTCTTCACGCATTTCTACTCTTAAACTGTATCCCTGAACACTAAGAAGCCAGGACAATTTGAAATGTTGTCACAGAAAATCTGTTATATAGTATCTGCCATAGTGATACCTGTTCAGGTATGGCTATTACAAAAGAAAATCATTTTTTAACATTAACTTTGGAATGAAAAACCTGTTGAAACAAACCTCACCAGAATGAAGGCAGGCAGAGTTGAAAGACAGGAAAACGATAACAGTGCTGGGCTTTGTTTCCACACTACAATGGAGTGTTTGAAGAGAAGCCCTACTTCCCAGTGCCGGCAGCCTCATATCTTTAGGTTTCCCAATGAGCTTTCTGCCAGTATGACAAAAAACATGCTCTTACTTCACAAGAGAAATCATGAAGATTTTCCTAAATTCTTGATCAAATATTTGTGAACCCTGGGAATAAACTATCTTGCTATAAAAAGAAAAAAAAAGAAATTGTCACAGTTTGGGAGAGGCATCCAAATACAACATATGTACAGACAGCAGTGTCTATTCAAGGCTGCAAAGTGTCTGCAGGTCCCCAGAAGAGGTCAGCCTTGCAGCTCCAGAGCACCTACTGTGCCATACTGAGAAACTAGTGGTGCAAAGGACACACTGATGACAGCATTAGAGCTAAGACACTAAGGTAGTGACCAGCATTCATGAATTATTCTTCGGATTATACTTCAATTGTAAAAACCACACTAATCTACTCTGGTAATATTAGTTACATAAAAAAGCAATGGCGGGG